TGTCGGATCCCCTGGAACTGGAGTTATGGACAGTTGTTAGATGCCATGTGGGTGCTGGGATTCGAACCCAGGTCTTCTGCGAGAACAACCAGTGTTCTTAACCACTGAGCCATCTCTCCAGCCCAGTTTGTTTTTTTATACTCAAAAATGCTACTCTGCACTCAGAGTGGCAACTTGCAGTTCCTAATTCGTCTCTGCTTTTGGAAGCTTAAAGTCAAATCACTGTGTTTTGGAAGCATGAAGTGCAACCTGAAGTAGTATCATTTCTTCCAGATTTTCTAGAATGTCCTAGTTTGGGTAGAATAGTGAACTCGGTGTACCTCAGTAATTTTCTTAGTTTTAGTATTAATTTTCTATCTCTGTTAATATGACAAAGATAGAGACCATGTGAGAAAGCCATAAAGTAAATTTCAGTGATCCACAGGATCAGTCCCCTGGTCTCAGATTGTTTCCTTCCTTGTACTCAGTATGTAGTCTTTGGAGTTCTCAATAACAACCATGACATGTCTCTACATGACACTCTCATCATGTGTTTTCCAGTTTAGATTATTTGCAAAGTGAAAAATATATAAAATTGGTAAATGAGAAATGACATTAGCAGCTATATTCAGACAGCACTGAGTAGAAATTACTAGTTGTCATCTTCATAGTTAAAAGATGTATGCAAAAAAAAATACAGCAGTACATTTTGGGTTTTTTTTTTGTTTTTATTTTATTTATTTATTTACTTATTTTGAGACAAGATCTCCCTGTAGCCCCAGCTGGCCTGGAACTTGTTTTGTGAACCAGGCTGGCCTTGATCTCATAGAGATCCACCTGCCTCTGCTTCGTGAGTGCTGGGATTAAAGGCGTGTACCACCATGCCTGGCTGGTACATTATTTTTAATAAATGTTTATTGGCTAACAGAAGAAATTGGTCAAACTGCAGAATAGATAGGTCAGTGTCAGGTTAACAGAAATTAGATAAGATGATGGCAGAATGCCTTCAAGGAAAGGAGATAAAACCACATACATGAATGACCTCAAGAAAATGAGTGAAACAAACAATTATATTGGTTCTTATGGCACATCAGTCTGTGGACCAGGCCTGCTGGCCTTGAATGCAATAGACTGATTGAAATTATTAGATCGGAGCTTAGAAGAAAATTGGTAGTAGTTAACATGTTATATACTGATATTATGCAAGTAGTGGGTGAGAGGGCTTTGGGTAGGAGCAATATCAAAGAATTTACCGTGGTCTAATGTAGTGTCTGTGAAGCAAAAAAGAGAAACTTGACTTGGGATATCTGAAGTCAGGACTGAGCAAGGCTGTGTTCATAGAGTAGTTTCCTAATTCAAAATTATTACTAAAGTGTTTGCTAATTAAATATTAGCCATGTATAAGCTAAAAAATATGCTTTAGAAACACCTCATGCTAACATTATATGCTTTTCTTAGTCACAGAGTGAAAAGGTCAGGTTACACTGGCCTACATCCTTGCCATCTGGAGATGCCTTTTCTTCTGTGGGGACTCATAGATTCGTCCAAAAGGTAAGCTAATGGAAGTTGACTGAAGGTACACCTTCATTCTTCATTGTTTGCAGATCTACTGTGTAGTATAAATTTTCTCCTCTTTTCATGAATTTAAGTAGAAAGGGTTTTTTTGTGGGGGTTTTTGGGTTTTTTTTTCCTCTCTTTTTCTCTTTCTTTCTTTCTTTTTTTCTTTTTTTGTACTATATTTTGTATTCCCTAATATATTCACCAAAACAGTTCGGAAATCCTGTTCTAAATGTAATGTTTTTTATATAAGGAAGAAAATGGAGGAGGGGAAAGGATAGTAAAAAAATAGTTAACTACACTGTAGCCAGTTAAATTTCTTTCTTTTTTGTGGTTAAGTACTTCACATTATTGGAAGTACTTTATTCTTTTTGGTATGATTTTGAAGCATAATGCATAATAGGTGCATGAAGTCAGCACTTGCTGCTGTGCTTGTTCATATAGTGCTTTGTTTTCTCTTTCTTTATCTTGTGTTTGGAAGTTGGTACTGAATACTCTGTTGTGCCTTTGTTCTGATTACTTGGTTTTTTTCTTTGTCTGTCTCTGGTAGCCCTATAGTCGCTCTTCCTCCATGTCTTCCATTGATCTAGTCAGTGCCTCTGATGATGTTCACAGATTCAGCTCCCAGGTACTGTATGAATGTATAGAGTGGACTTGAGTCTTTTGTGCTATATTTTAGCCTACTTGCCCAGTTCTTGAAATCTATTGATTAGGCCACTTGTTTTGGTTTTGAATTTTAAATAGTAACAAGCATTTAAAAGGCTTCCTTATCTATTAAATAGTTCCTGTATCAGACTTACATGTGCCCTTTATTTTGTATCTACTGTGGATAGCTTGGAATTTTGTCTTAAAAAAGGTAGTACTCAGGGAACTTTATCATATTAAATTGAAACAATTTATCTGGTTTTGATTTATCATGGAATAGCAATCTGTTTTTTTCAGACAAGTTCAACAACATTCATAGACATGAAATATAGCAGATTTTAGCAGTCTCACTTTTGATCTAATCTAGTTTATGCTTAGCAAGGAAATAACTTCTTAAATAATAGTTGTCTCGTTACCATTATGATACCAAATTCCATTGAACAGTTAGTACTCATTGTTAGTTAGTACTCTGTTTATCTGCTAAATCTATGGAAATTGGTTTTGTTTATTTAGCATCACTAAGGGCTTAGGAATATAGAATAGTAAGCTGAATGTGCAGTCTGGACCCTCAAAATAAATTGCCGTGAGAGGAATATTTTTCAGTGTGACCATTTTTTTTTAACTTTTTTTTCTTTTGTGATACTAGGGATTGAGCCCACAGTCTTCAGCATACTAGGCAAGCTCCTATCACTGAGCTACCTTCCCATTCCTTAATTTAAAAAAAAAAAAAAAAAAGCCTTTAAGGTATTTTTAATCTTTAAGTCTTTGCCATTTAATTTTATATTTTCATGGTAGTTGCAGTTTTTGGACTGCATTATGCTAAGAACTTCAACTGTTTAATCACAAAGACTGAATTTAAATCCTGATTAACTGTCATCTTAGGGAAGGTTTCTAGCTCTGTTTCATTTTTGTGATTTGGCTTAAGCCAGGGACATAGTGTATGTTTGTTTAGTCACTATGAGCTTTAATTGCCATTATAATAATATAATTTAGTTGTACTAATTATTGTATCAATTTTCATCTTCTAGATTATTTCACTGAAAGTTTAAAAATCATAGCTTAAAACAGACCTTAATTATTTTACATATACAGATTAAATTTGCACTCAATTTTAACTGCAATAGAGGAAAAATTAAGACTTAGAAATGCATTTTTCTGATTTTTGCACCTATATGCCGTGATATCTTTGAGAAAAATATTTAGCCGTTCTTGAACCGTAGTCACCCATAACTACACATACTTATTACTTATGTTTTCATCCATTTTTGCATGCCTTTTAAAAAATTATTCATGCCTGGCATGGTGGCGTATACTTTTGATCCCAGCACTTGGGAGTCAGAGGCAGGCAGATCTTTGTGAGTTCAAGGCCAGCCTGGTCTACATAGCAAGTTTCAGGCCAGCTGCAGCTACAGGAAGACCCTGTCTCAAAAAAACCAAAAAAAAAAAAAAAAAAACCTATTTACTGCTGGAGAGATGGCTCAGCAATTAAGAGCACTGGCTGCTCTTGCAGAGGACTGAGGTTCGGTTCCCAACACCCACATTTCAGCTAACAGTCATCTGTAACTCTAGTTCCAGGGGATCTGATGCCCTCTTCTGACCTTCTCAGGCATTTCATGATACTGGTGTACTTGCAGGCAGGCAGGCAATACACTCATACACAGAAAATAATAAATAAAAATATATTTATCTATTCACAGTGAGTGATGAAAGATAATACAAGGGGACTTTGGTTTATTCTGCTAAGCCTATTTTGTATTAAAATTAAAAAGTTAGGGGGCTGGAGAGATGGCTCTGCAGTTAAGAGCACTGACTGCTCTTGCAGAGGACCCGGGTTCGATTCCCAGCACCCACATGGCGGCTGCAAACCATCCTTAATTCCAGTTCCAGGGGAGTCCGAAGCCCTCTTCTGACCTCCGGCATTGCATGACATGGGTGCACTCACATACATACAGGCAGTACACTCATACACATAAAATAAAAATAATAAATTTTTTTTTAAAAAATTAAAAAGTCAGGGGATGGAGAAATGACTTAGGGGTTAAGAGTGCTGGCTGCTCTTGGAGAGGACCCAGGTTCAGTTCCCACCATTTACATGGCAGCTAACAACCATCCATAACTCCAGCTCCAGGTGATCTGACGCTCTCTTCTGACCTCTGCGAGCTTTGCACAACATGCAGGCAATTCACTCAAACACATAAAATAAAAGTAATAAAATACTAAAAAGTCAAAGAGGCTAGAGAGATAACCTAGTTGGTAAAGTGTTTCCTGCATAAACATGAGCATCTGAGTTCGATCTTCAAACTGTACATAAACAGCCGGCTGTGGTGGCATGTGCTTACACTGAGGAGGCAGACAGATAGATTCCTGGAGCTTGCTGGCCGGCCAGCCTAGCCTATTTAGCATGCTCTAAGGCAGTGAGAGACCCTGTCTCACACAAAGAAGGTGGATAGCACCTGAGGAATAACACTTAAAGTTGTCCTCTTGCCTCCACAGGTATGTCCACATACATGGAGTAACACATATACACATAACACATGGCACACACAGAAGTGCTAAAATAATGATAAAGTCACAGACTAACTAAATTTAACTCATTACTGATTACAGTTTTCTCTTGAAATGTTAGAATGTGCAGGCTATAAATCAGAGCAAATAGACTAAGAACAAGTTGGCTTCAGAACCCAAATCCAAGCCCTAGTTGTAGAGTTGGGGAGTAGCTGAAAGCCTTTAAGCATGTATCTATATTTCTACAAGTCTTTGCCAAATTTTAATGAACTTCTCTACATTTTTATAATATGTAAATATAAATTGAGAAATTGTTTGCTGATAATTTTTTCTAATATATAGTGTTTATTATATGATTGGCAGGTCCTATTTCAACTTTTGATTGTATACTACTTTAAATACCAAAAGAGGTAAAAATGAAGAAAGTAATATTAAAATCTTCAAGTATTTCTCATCTTTGTATTTGTTGTCATTTGTGGACTTGAGTTCTAGTAATTAGACTGTGGCTCATCTTCACCAACACCTTTAGAATTTAGAATTCCCAGTTCTTAGGTTATTTATTTTGAAGGATATTATGCACCTACCTCCCATTATCAAAGATTCTGACAAATTGATTCTATACTGTCATACTGAAAAAGGCAACATTGGCTCTAAGCATATAGTTAATGTTAGTTGAGCATGTTTTCTGGGAAACATTTCCAGTTCAACACGATGTGAAGTTACACTAGTGACTAAATTAAATTTGGTACATTTTACATTTTACACATGCTGAAGACTTAAGTATTAAACAAAATAAATTCTAAGGTTAACTAATAACATTTGAAACATGTTGTGTTATAATACCTTATATATAACATTTTGATATAATATATAATATACTTAAGGAATTCCACAAAATATTTAGATAACCAGACTATTTTGTACTTAATTTATAAATTAGCCAATTTGTTATCACTTTAGATAATTTGCCAAGGACTAGAGTGGAAGAACTTGCCTAGTGTTCACAAAGCCCTGTTAGACCCCTTGTAATGACTATAAACAAAATATTGCTAAAATATTAATTACTGAAGTATAATGTTACAGTCACTTGACATTTATTCTTTCAATCTTTAAACATTCATAGTAGGCCAGTGAGGTGGTTCAGCAGGTCAAGAAGCTTGCTGCTCGAGCCTGAGGACCTGAGTTAGATCCCTGAATTCCATGGTGGAGAAAAGAGAACCATCTTCCAAAAGTTGTCCTCTGACCTCCACATGAATACCAACACCTCCCTCCCTCTCCCTCTCTCTCTCTCTCTCTCTCTCTCTCTCTCTCTCTCTCTCTCTCTCTCTCTCAATAAAATTTAAGTAAAAAATTAAGAACAGAATTAAGTCATTGGTATTCTCTTGAATTTTTAATAGTATTTTTGCATCTGTAGGGTGGGGTTAAAATTACAGGGCCCTCTCTATTCCCCATTTCATTTCAGCAATTGCCACTTTTTACTACATTTTTATTTTATTTGGAGGAGGGGTCCATGCCTGTGATGCCAGCTATTGTGAAAACCAAAGAATAAGAACCATATGAACCCAAGTATTTGATACCAACCTGGACAATTTAGCTAGACCTCATTTAACAAAAGAAAGAAAACATGCCTAGAGCATATCAAGTGGTAGTAAATGTTCTGGATCCAATCTTCAGTACCACAAAATTTGAAAAAAATATTTTTAAAGCAGAGGACTGGGGAGATGTCTCAATCAGTAAAGTGTCTTCCTGACCAGCAGGAGGACTTAAGCAGCACCTATGTGAAAAACTGGGTAGCAGTGGTGACATATGCCCATAATCTAGTGCTGGAGCTTACTTGCCAGGCCAGTTTAGCTGAGTCTGTGAGTTCTGGGTTCAATGAGAGGCCTTATCTTGAAGGTGGGGAAGGGGGCGGGAACCACGACACAGAACACACATGACACACATAACACAAACTAGAGAGAGAGCTTCAGTGGTTAAGAGCTCTTACAGAGGACCCAGGTTTGGTTCCATAACTTATTTGAAAAATGTACTTAATAGATTCATTTCCCACCAAAAAATACAGGATGTCTATTATACCTACTAGCCTAACATTGAACATTTTTAGTTTTAGTTTTTCTCTATTATAATTAATACACTGAGCATCCTTGTAATAGTTTCCTTATATAAATCTTTGCATACTTATATAATTGTTTCCTTCAAATGTTTTTCTAGAAGTGAACTTGTTGGATAAAGGCCATGAAAATGTCTGTTATATTTATCTGTATTGAAAAATTGTTCATCAGAAAAGTTGGAGCAGTTTGTACTTCAGGCTAGTTTTGTTGGGGTTTTTGTTTTGTTTTTTTTTTGTTTGTTTGTTTTTTTACTATACTGGCACTAAATATTAACTTAAACTAAATGTTGCCAGTCTTATAGGCTACAGGTGGTATTTTTCACTTCTGTCTGTACATTAAATGAATTGGTTATTCAGGTCTTTGGAACATTTTTCTTCTGGGTCAACAGTGCTCTGTTAACTTAATAATAAATCATTCTGTTCAACAAGCCCCTCTCTGCCTTTGTGACTGTGGAACAATTAGCATAATTGTATTCCTTTTACACAGGTAAGAGAGAGATCAGAGCTGTGCGAGCTCCTCTGGACTTTTGTTGGTACCATCAAAGGGCAGTTTTCTTTTTGAAACTGTGTTAACTGTGTCAGAAAAACCCAAGTGTAGTGACCTTCTCCCTGTAGCATTATATTGAATGGTTTGGATGTGAGATGGGAGTGAGCATTTTTGGTTTTGTTTTTAGGCTGGAATTGGAGTAGTACCCCTTTTTTTACATGCGTTGTAATGTTTTGTTTGTTTTAGTCAGGGTCTCCCTGTATAGCCCTGGCTGGCCAAGAACCTTAACTGTATCCATGTTTTCATAGTTCATTGGTAAGATGCTATATAGATAGCTTCTTTCCTAATCCTAGATCCAAAAGAATCAAGGGCATGATTCCTAAAATTATAGCACCTAATTAAAACATGGGGCTGGTGAGATGTCTCTGCTGCTAAGCCTGAGGACTTGAGTTCGATCCCAGGACCCACATAGTTGAAGAGGACCACCTCCCACAAGTTGTCCTCAGACTTCCATAGGCACTCCCCCAACCACATACACAGAAAGTAAGAATATAATAAAATAACTTTGATCTGGTCTCTTTCAGGGATAGCATTTGTTACTAGTAACAGTGTTTCTTGGAATATCATATTTTGAACTTGATAAAATGGCCTTAGCTTGTCATCATATTTCATGGTCCCTAGTCTCCTGTGTCTTTTTTATGTATATACACAGTAAACTGAACAGATAAGTTTAGATCAGAAGTATCAATGGTCAGGAGTGCACAGTTTTTATTTTTTTACAGTAAGCATAAAAACCTATTATAATAAGATTTTACTTATAGCACTTGTTTCTTAACTTTAATGTTATTACTTCAGTAATTTAGTACTTAGTTTACTTTTCTGAGAGCACAACATGAATACCTCTTGTTCCTTTGTTGAATTTTTCAAACCCTTTTTAGTCAAAGCAAAGCAAGACTTTAAAACTGTTCATAAATGCAGAATTTCTGTTACAGAAATACCATTTGAAAACTTTATCTAGGAAGGTAGTATGCACCTTGATTTCTGTACATTATTAAAACTGTGCTATCTCCTATTATTTTTTTATTTGTTAAATCTGGTTTCCTTTGGGCAAGAAACCAAATCCAAAATCAAAAGTATTTTGCAAACATTTGAAACACCTCATTCAGAAATAATCTCCTAAACAAAAGGACAAATACCTGATAGTTTGTATAACAAAGGAGCTGTAAAAGGCACTGAAAATCTTCTAAACTGAATTCTTTGTTCTAACACAATGAAATCTGCTTCATATTCTTCACTAGCAAGTTTTGGGAAGCAGCGTTTATTTCTGGGAAACATTCTTTCTACCTCTACTCTCATAATAAACACATGTTCTTTTCTCCCAGTTTCTTGCCCAAATTCATATATTTCAAATCTAAAAATCTCAAAGAGGTAAAACTTTCTTGCAATCAGTATGACAGACAGGTGAATGAAGGCAACATGACTGTGGTGATTTTCCCATTCTAAGTGGAACCTTACTCTTTCGGAATTTATGCATCCTTTTTTTTTTCATGTATTTGTAACTTCATCACCCTTACACAAAGCAGATCTCAAAGTTCAGAGGGACATAGTTTTCTCTAGTCAGCCATCTGAGTTTTTCTAATTAAAACTTTACAAAATTACAGAACATGCTATTAAGTAAATTAATGTTTCTCAACTCTAAAACCCATGATCATTCACACTGTCTTAAGAATTATGAATAAAGTACTAAAATTTTGTTAATATTGAGTATAAAATAGATTTTGGAATCAAGGTTAATAATTTTACCAGAAACTTTTTCATGATGATTGGCCAAATTAGGAGACACATAAACCCTCACCCACTTTTAGTAACTAAAACTGTATTCTAAGATCCAGAAAGTTTGGTATAACAGATATACACATCACTATAACATATTGATAACATCCTTTAAGCTTAGAAAATTTTAATATTAAGATCATAATTTTAAGAGTTTCTGCCTCGAAACTATTTCAAAGTATAAACAAGCTCCTTGTTCAGTATCCTTAATGAGCACAATAGACTTTATATGAAGTAAATAGTTCACTTAGTAAATTTTAAATATTAATATAATATTTTCCAACTCTTTCTTATATATATTTATTGCTAATATTATTTTTTCAGTATAATCTCTACTTCTATTCAAAACACTTCAAAGTGCACTTTTCTGGGAGTATGAATTGTGTATTCATCTTTCTTTGCTTATCAATTATGTACCAAAAATTTGTGATAGTTAAAAGCTGAAGTTGCATTTAAATTTCAGTGAAAAATATTTAGTGGGACAAATTAGGGCTCTATAGACAGTCATGTCCCTGAGTTAAATTCCCTGCAGCAAAGGGAAGGAGCATAGACATTTTCAAAGGACAAACTAAAAAGTGATTAGTGCCAGAATATCAATACATTTCCTGAAAGAATTTAGAACAATGAAATTTGAATAAAATAAAAAGCCTATTTTATATTGATTTATATTCAAGAAAGGTTTACTCACTTTTTAAGACTATTTTATTTATTATTTTTATTTTATATGTATGAATGTATTGTCTGCATGTATGCGAGTGCACCAGTGTTGTGCAATGTCGTGGAGGTCAGAAGAGGGCTTCAGATTCTCCTGGAGCTGGAGTTGACAGTTCGTAGCAGCCATGTGGGTGCTGGGAATCGAACCCAGGTCCTCGCCAAGAGCACTCAGTGCTCTTAACCCCTGAGCCATCTCTCCAGCCCCTGGTTTACTCACTTTTTATAGGGAAGTCTTTCATGTATAGCAACATATCTTTATATAGTCTTAAATATAGGCACATTGGGACTAGATGATTTGCATGTGTTTGTCTCTTTTGTCCTTGTCTCCTTTGATCCATGATTTTGAGCTTTAAGACAACATCTCTCCATGTTTAGTGGAAGATGCACATTGGGCCAGTTCATGTTACATGAGTGAAGCAAACATCTTGCATTTCTCTCTTCCCATTAAGCTGGATATTTGGACTAATAAACTCTTTAACACTGTAAAAACTTACTAGTTTCGGCTTTGTAAGAGTGCCATTTCTGAACTGAAGTAAAAAATACCATTCTGTTTGAAAGATTGTGACATTCCTATTACTTGTGGATTCTCATGGTTTTATTTTTCTTTTCAAGGTGGAAGAGGTGGTACAGAACCACATGACTTATTCATTGCAGGATGTAGGTGGTGATGCGAATTGGCAATTGGTTGTTGAAGAAGGAGAAATGAAGGTAATTCCCACTGAAATTATTTGGGTTGATAAGTGGAGCTCTTGATATCAGTAAGTGTAACATTAAAGCAGGTAATGTCATGCCATCAAAGAAGCACCAAGTTCTGGGAAATAAAGTATCTTTGTTATTTCTGTATGAATATAATATGAATTTATAAACATAATATCCTGTTTTGCCTAGACAACAGAAAGTAAAATCTGGGAGTTATATGTAAAACAGATCATACTCAGCTAATGGCCCTCTGTTTAGATATTTCTGTCTTACTCTTTAATGTACTGAATGTTGCCACCGGTGTCACATTGTTTCTTTTCTCTTGTGTCTACTCTCCCCACATCCCTACCCTTGGCTCCATACTCATTATTCTGGCAAGTCACTGTTCGTTCTTTGGAGATGCGGAAGGAAAGGAATGAAAAGAAACCAGGAGTAATAATCTAAATGAAGTCTCTTCAACTGTGATGAGAAGTAGAAAGCCAGGCTTTTGGAAGTTTTAGAGAAGATTAGGGACACACTTAATAGCTAATAAACTGAGTGGAGAAAATTTTTCAAAGTCTGATTTCTAATTTGAGTGACTGAGAAAATGTTGGTCCCAATAATATGAATGAATAAGCATGTGTGGGAGAGACTGTGAAAGAGAAACTGTCAAGTGCCTATTAATCCTCATGAGCACTCCATAAATGACAACTGATTCTCCCCATGTTTTTTCATGTCTTGAAAGAATTGATCACATATTTCTGTAAAGTTGCAAGCTATAATTTTGAAATAATGGATTTCACTCGTCACTTGGGGTATGAAGCCTCTCAGTGTTTAAAGCAAGATCAGTCTGTGTTTAGAATCTTTTTGTTGATTTTGATGTTTGGTTCAACAAATTATTGAGTGCCTAGGGTCTTTGATACTATTTTAGATGCTGTGGATGTACCATTGAACAAAAGCAGCTTTAAATTGGTATGCTTGAAGCCAAGTGTGGTGGTGGACGCCTTTAGTCCCAGCACTCGGGAGGCAGAGGCAGGCAGATCTCTGTGAGTTCAAGGCCAGCCTGGTCTACATAGGGAGTTCCAGGCCAGCTGGGGCTACAGAGAGACCCTGTCTTCAAAATCAGTATGCTTGAGGCTATAGTCTAGCCAGGTTTATTTGGCTTTGTTGACTATGTTAAACAGCCTTTCAGAATGTTTGACTAATGCTAATATAAATTATTTTTTCATCTATAGCACTTGGTCATCCATCATTTATATGTTTTTCATAGTTGAAGTTTACCTTGGATTTACATTTTAAATATGTTTGCCATGTGTTAATTTGAATTTTTTCTCTTAAAAGATTTTTTAAAATATTTATTAGAAGAGGCTGCTGCATCCCCTGGGACTGGAGTTACAGATGGTTGTTAGCTGCCATGTGGGTGCTGGGATTTGAATACGGATCTTCTGCAAGAACAACCAGTGTTCTTAACAACTGAGCTACCTCTCCAGCCCCTAGAATATATTCTATAAATTTTCATAAATATATTTCTAAAAAACAATGTCTTTGAAATAGGTCTTGCTATATAGTTGAGGCTATCCTCAGACTTGCTATGAAAGTCAGGCTAACCTTGACTTTGAATCATTTTGCCTTAGTCCCCGCCAAATGCTGGAATTATGGGCATACACCACAGGGCCTTGAAAAAGCAGCTCAATTTGAAAGCGTTCTTTTAAATTTGTACTTGCATAATTTGACTATTTTTGTTTGTTTTGGCAAAGGGAACAAGAAGGTTTTTATATAAAGAAACAATGCAAAATGCACTGCAAGAGAGCAGTAGGCTACTTGATATAGATTGCCCAGAAGCCAAGGGTCTGATTTTTATATTGTTTTTAAATCGTTTTTTTAGTATTTTTATTTTATGTGTATGAGTATATTGCCTGCATGAGTGTAAGTGTACCCGTGTCGTGTAATGCCCACAGGATGTCAGAATTTGGTGTCTGATTCCCTGGAGCTGGAGTTACAGTTTTTAGCCTCCATGTGGGTGTTGGGAATCAAACCCAGATCCTCTACAAGAGCAGCTAGTGTCCTTAATCGCTGAATCATCTCTCCAGCCCCTTAAATAACCATTGTTGTTGTTGTTGTTTCTCAGGTATACAGAAGAGAAGTAGAAGAAAATGGAATTGTTCTGGATCCTTTGAAAGCTACGCATGCAGTTAAAGGTGTTACAGGACATGAAGTCTGCAATTACTTCTGGAATGTTGATGTTCGTAATGACTGGGAAAGTAAGCTGTCATCATTAACATATTTTAATATAATTGTTATTTTAAATTTAATGTCGATCCAGCCTGATTTTCTATATCTGATAGATGGTTTATAAAGCCATTGTAGAAATTATCAGGAGAATCATAGGATTGATCCAAGTCCTCGCACATGGTAGGCAAATATTCTACACTGAGCTGCCTCCCCAGATCCATATCTTACTTTTAAAACAAGATATTACTATTTAGCCCAAGCTGGCCTTGAATTTGTTGTCCCCCTGCCTTAACCTTCCAAGTTTTAGGATTGTAGGTATGTACAACTATGCCTAGCCATACCTTCCATTTAAATAGACTTTTACACTGTTCAAACACTTACTATATCACATCATTGGATCCAGTACCCTACTAATAGCTCATGATACGTATAATGAAATATCTTACATACAAATAAAATAAAATTCATTTGCCCCAAATGAATTGTCAAAGGTTACAGGGCAAGTTGGTTGAAAAGCCAGGACCGCCATGAAGATTTCTCATTCATCTACTCTTTCCTAAACATGGTAAATCCCTAGATGAATCTTGCTGTGGTTAAAGTTATTTTCAGTGTGTATTTATTCCTAGACTCACATTTCATAAATACAGGTTCTTCGCAAATACTTATCACTGGCATTTTGACATTCTTTTCTCATCAATATAATCACGTATGCCTCAATAGAAAATGTAAATCTAGTAAATTAGACAATGGGAAGGAGTTGCATCATTAGGGAATTATTTCAACTTGAGTCATAGTAGTGATCAGGATTATGTTCTTCCTTTGGAAAATACTGAACCACAGAAAACGTCCCAGTAATCAGACTTCACAGCCACCAGCTACAGAGTGAAAGCAAACCATAGTGCTAGTACAAGGCATTAATTATCTTCAATTTAGATTTAGCCTGGCTAATGCAGGATCTTGTTTACTTTACCACAGTATCATTTATAAATGATAAGTAATCACGTTCTAAAAAATGCAGCGTATCTTTTTGTGTCTGCTAACATGATTCTCTTCATTTCAGCAACTGTAGAAAACTTCCATGTGGTGGAAACATTAGCTGATAATGCAATCATCATTTATCAAACGCACAAGGTAACGATCTATCATCTTTCCCCAAAGACACCAGAGTAATTCAAGCACAAACATACATATTGGCTAAAGTATAATTCGGCAGGCATTCAAATGCCTCAAAAGACCCAAAGACAAGGGAGCAGAGATATATGAGGGCAAGAAATATGAGAAATTCGGTCTAGAAACAGTGTTGGATAAAGATCTGTAGTTAGTTTCTTTCTATGTAAATTATAAGCCTAAAAAAGCACCTTCTGAAATCCATTTAAATACTTTTCTAGTGTTTCAGCCCTATAAATGATAGTTAACAAATACAAAATGAGTCACAGTTTTCTATGACAACAGTAACAAAGGTAAGGGAATACTTGGCATTAGCCCATGTTGAGATATGAAAGTGATCTACATGAATTATCTGGAAACAAGGAAGAATCAAGAAATTGGTCAAAGGTCAAAGCACACACAAACATTATTTAGGTTGGTTCCCTTTCATATTATTTTTCCCTCTACTGTTCAAGTTACTTAAAATTGTTATTTTTTTTATATTTATTATATTTCTCTTGATTTCTTGTTCTGCTGTTTCCCTTGTGAAAAAAAATGCCATTTTTTTTTTTTAACATTTCTTTGTTTACTTGATTGGGTCGGGGAGTGGCTTATGCAGGCCACGACACGCATGTGGAGATCAGTGGACACCTCAAAGGTGTGGGTTCTCTCCTTCCACTATGTGGGTTTCAGGATCAAAATCAGTCATCAGGCTCAATGAGAAGCACCTGTACCCTCTGAGGCATCGCCATGGCACCCAAATATTTTTATTTAGAATATAAAGAGAATTAAAATTTTAGAGAAATCCACCAAAAGCAATACTGTTTGTTATTTAAAACACTATAATGATTCAGTAAGCACTTCATTTTCCAAATCAGTGGAGATGTTTTTCTTTTAAAAATGTTTGTTGATTGAGTTGAATGCGAAAAATAAAGCTTGTGAGTTTTCTGAGCCCAGGCTCCTTATGGTGAGGCGGCCTCTAGCTGCTGATCGTGAGCATGCTCCATTTTACGTGCAGCCGCCCCACAAGTGTGTAACAGTGAATATTCCATTTCACCATTCACATTTTTGAGCCAGGGGTCAAACCTAAAGTTTAGTAAATACTAAAATATCAAATAATTGTCCTGTAGTTTGCGATGAAGATAAATGGCCAATAATTTAAAGCAGAAGAACCTTATTACTAGAAAGTAATTGATCTTGGGAAACAAGTACCACCTGGAAAATACTAGCTGGAGGGAACAATTGGATAGTTAATACTAAAACTGAAAAATAAAACTAAAAATTCTTACGATGATGATGTATTTCTTATGTAACAGAAATTAAGATAGTTATGAACAAAATCAGATAACATGATATTTTTTCATTAAATTTGACTTCATTGATGCTATATGAAAGAAGTCTCATGAAATTTGAGTCATTTTTATTCTTCTTATCCTTATAGATTTTCATTCATTATTGCCTTTTCCCTTTTGTTTTTGTTTTTGAGACCATCTCTGTGTTGCTCAGATGGGCCTAAAACTCCTGGGCTCACGCAGTCTTCCTGCCTCAGTCTCTTGAGTGACGAAAACTGTAGGTGTGCTGCTTTGCTCAGCTGATTCATTAGTTGTTTTAGATGGTTTGTTATTGTTTCTTTTTCCTTTTTTTTTTTTAAAGAGGGTGTTATGTATCTCTGACTGGCCTGGCCTGGAACTTGCTGTATAGACCTGGCTGGTCACCATGCCCAGCTGTTGTTGTTTCTTGTTTTCTTTTCTTTTTTAAGACAGGGTCTTATGCTCCATATGTTGGCCTCAGATTCACTATGTAACTTGAATGTCTGATCCTCTCAAGTGTAAGCATAAGCCACTACATCTGGTTTATGTGGTGCTAGCAATTGAACCCAGGGTTTCATGTACAATAGATGAGCACTCTACCAACTGGGATATATCCCCAGCCCCCTCATTCCCTAATCCTAATGAAGTGTTGGGTAAGTACAGATGAAGACAACTGTAAATCTTCATGTGTTGCTTCACCTACATTTGCCCAATACTACTATCATCACTTCATGAAATTTTGTCTTTAAAACATGAATCATTTCACTTTGCAAATGTGTTATATTGAGTTATTGCCATTTATTGTATTCAGTGATCAAAGAAAGACACTGTATAACAAGGACAGAGTTCAGTTGCCATATACCAGTTACGCAAAGTAAAAGTAACTTGAACAGAATAAAAGTTTGCTTTTCTGTCATTTAAAGAAGATAGTCCCAGATATCAAAAATCCGTATAAATTCCATGTCATTCCTTCAATATGTGATTTTTCCTCACATACTTTTAAGTAGAAATGTTTGAGCTAAGTGATTTATAGTTAATTCAAAGGTGTTATCCAAGATAGAGTCCTTTGCTTTGTAAATCTGATTCTCTAAGGACAGCATTAGTAGAGACTGTGGGGAGTAGAATGGCCATTGTTGCCTTATGGGTATGAAGTTTCTATTGGCAGTGTTGGTAAATTTTAGAAATATTTAGTTACATACATTGTGAATGTAATTAATTCCACTAAATTATATACTAGAAATGGTTAAAATGGCAGATTTACTACAATTAGAAAAGAAAAAATAGACTATTCTTCCTTTGATTCTATTATGCCAAGCTGTTCCTCTGCATAATTAACCATTGGTGGATATTCTAATGCTTCCCATTTAAAGTTTGACAAATTCCACCTTCAGAATATTTAATTGATTCTTCATTTGTTTCATTTTTAGTTTCTATGACATCTGAATTAAAAAGTAATTCAATTTGTCAAAACATTTTTAATTCTTCCACAGAGAGTGTGGCCTGCCTCTCAGAGAGATGTATTATATCTTTCTGCTATTCGAAAGATACCAGCCTTGACTGAAAATGACCCTGAAACATGGATAGTTTGTAATTTTTCTGTGGATCATGACAGTGCTCCTGTAAGTGCAATATATAAATTTATATACTTTGATAATATAAAGCTGAATGCATAATGCTAGCAAAGAATTTAAATGTATTATTCCCTCCCACCTACATGCAGATACTTGGTTTGTGCACATGTTTTAGACTTTATATTAGATTGACTGCTTGGGACAGCCCATGTATTTTCTGAAGGCAGCTGTCATGGCTGTCAACACCCCACTGGGATTGCTTGCTTCTCCTTCTGGGTTTGATAACACAAATGGATAGGTCATCCGGGTCGCCTGCTTCCCACAGTTATCTGTTAAGCTGTTGGCAACTGCTGCAGACTTGCTATGGTTTCTTCCTTGATTTAGCTCTGTTTACTACTTTGAGGGGCAGGGGAATCCTGGTATCAGTTTGACATATATTTATTGGTGATTATAAGATTTTACTGGGGACTTTATAATGGAGTTTTCACTAATATGGTAATAGGGCAACAGAAACTATTAAATATGGACTGTCTCTACAAACTGTCTGTTTTGACAGATGAACAATCGATGTGTCCGTGCCAAAATAAATGTTGCTATAATTTGTCAGACCTTGGTAAGCCCACCAGAGGGAAACCAGGAGATAAGCAGAGACAACATTCTATGCAAGATCACATATGTAGCTAATGGTATGTATTTGTTTTTGTGTTTTTTTTTAGTTAATAATGAGTTTTTAATTAGAAGTAGAAGGAACAGTGGGAAAAGAAATTGAGTTTTTATTAGGGTATTAGTTTTCTGAATGACTTCCCTGTCAGTCAGCCCTTTTAGTGGCTAGTGTCGCATTCATTTCATTTGCACTCAGTACTGGATAGCCCTTTCTGTCACTTGCTTTGGTTCCTTACTGCACCTGTTTTGTACCTGCAGTAGTCATTGCAAGCCTTTCCAAATTAGAAATTCAGACTTTTGATCTTTATTCAAGGCTTTAACTACTCAAATGTTTTTTAAAAATGTGTAAGTTACTATGTAGCTATAATAGAGATTGATGAACAAATCTACCTAAATCACCTTAAATGTTGCTATGCTGATCTTTGAATGTCATTTGGGGAGAATCAAGACTACTTTAGAAAAATAATACATTCTTTCTTTTTTTGTTTTGTTTTATTTGTTTGCTTGTCTGTTTTTTCGAGACGGTGTCACTATACCGTTCACTGGATTTGCCCCCACAGAGATCCACCTCCCATTGCCTCACAATTGCTGGGATTAAAGACATGTGACACCAAGCCCAGCTAATACATGATTTTTTATTTGCTATCTAATAATGTCTGATGGTTTAGTATTAGATAGTTCATAGTTGTAGCTTAATAAATGATAGCTGTTGTTGGGACTGGAGAGAGAGCTCGGCAGTTAAGAGCACTGACTGCTCTTGCAGAGGTCAGAGTTTGTTTCCCAGCACCCATGTTGTAGTTGGCAACCACTTGTAACTCCAGTTTCAGGAGATCCAATGTTCTCTCCTGTCCTACTTGGGCACTGCACAGTTCCAAATGCATTTATATACATGCAGGCAATACACTCACACATATAAAAACAATTTAAATAAATGGACTGCCAGCTATTCCAACATGAGTAGTTTTTGAAAAACAAAGGAATGAATAAGTGTTTCACACATAGAGAATTATATCCTAAGAAGATTCAATTTTCCTTTCTCTTACAGTGAACCCTGGAGGATGGGCACCAGCATCGGTGTTAAGAGCAGTGGCAAAGCGAGAATATCCTAAATTTCTAAAACGTTTTACTTCTTATGTCCAAGAAAAAACTGCAGGAAAACAAATTTTGTTTTAGTACTAACAGGTATGGAAGCTCTACTAACCTTAATGTCTAGCATGACTCTGCAGATACTAAAATTTAATTAATTATTGAAAGTACATGCTGAAATTGTTTTATGTTCTCAAGTAGAGGATTTTAGTCTGTAACCCTTAAAACTTGTTTCATTAGTTATTTTTGTACTAATTTTTAAAGAAATTTCAGCATTACAGATATACAGAATTTAAGAAATGCAAATTCCCTGTATTCTTGCCCAGAAAACTTTATTCTTGTGTATGTTCTAGACTTTTCCATGCACATATTAATCTATACTGAATGTTAAATACACACACACACACACACACACACACGCACGCACACACACACACACACACACACACACACACGTTACCAAGTGTGGTGATATGTGTCTATAATTCCAGTACTTGGGAGTCAGAGCCAGGAAGATCACAACGAGTTTGAAGCTGTCCTGGACTACCAAGTGAATTTCATGCCAGCCATGGCTACATAGCAAGTCCCTGTCTCAAAACATTACTGCCACCACCACTTCCAATCCCATAAAACAAACAAAAAAAAATCATAAAAACTGAGGTTGGCAGCATACAAGTGTAATCCCAGCTCTCAGGAGGTGGAAGCAGAAGGATCAGCAGTTCAAGGACAGCCTAGTCTACATAAAAAGTTCAGGTACAGCCTAGTCTACATAGCAAGTTCAAGGACAGCCTGAGCTGTATGAGACTTTTTCTAAAAAAAAAAAGATAAAAATATTTATTCTGTAGTTATTTACTTTTTTCAACGTGGTTTTTTTACTTAATAATAATCTTCACTTTATTTCTAAATAATTAAAACTGCCTCATTTGTTATGCAAGGAGCTAGAATCTTTTGGTTTTTTTTTTTAAATAAGTGGGTATATTTCAGAAGTCTTCCCCACTCATCCATTTTATCCACCCAGAAGTTATATATTTTTATAATGTATATTATATAGGCTATTATTTTTTTTAATCTTTATAGACTTTAATATCCAAATGAGAAAATACAAGTGTATTCCTTCTTACCCAATTTTTGTTGTAAGGAAAAGACCATACACTGTATACTATTCTGCACCAGTTTGACCCTTAGTTGAAGTTCTTTTCTCTATTAGTAAGGTACTCCCTCCTTTTGTTTATTTTGTATGAATGTACATAATTTATCTAGCCAGTTCTGCATCTGACATGTGCTGAGATTGTTTTCCGTCTTTCCTGGTAGTGTTGCAGTTATATCCATAGATCATTTGTCACTTCAAAGTTTCTATGTGTGGTAAATTACAGATGTAGCACTGCTGACCCTGCCTTGAGGGGTCATGCATTTATAATTTACATATTACCCTCCACAGAGGTTTATTAACTTACCATATTGGCAATATAATGGATTATATTGCCTTTTTCCAGATACGTTCTCATAAATATATAAAATAAAACTTACAGATCTTTCCCAACTTGGCAGACAAAATATAATTTTGTGTTTCTGGTGTTTTGAGTGAATTTGAACATGTTTTCTAATGTTCTCTATAGTATATCCTTTTTGTTTTGTTTTGTTTTGTTTTGTTTTGTTTTGTTGTTATGAGACAGAGTCTTACTATGTAGCCTTAGCTGGCCTGCAACTTACTTTGTAGAAAAGGTTGACCTCAAACAGAGATCTGTCTGCCTCTGCCTCCCCAAGTGCTGGGATTAAAGACATGCTCCACCACACCAAGCCTAGTGTATCTTTCTTTTTAAAAACCACATACATCTTAAAGGCTAAATTTGTTGTCAGATACTGACACAAAGGCAAGAGCATTAGTTACTCAAGTACTTAGCCTAGCCCTGAAATTTTTAAATACCCTGTGTTTTGGTCATACTTATTTGGATGATTAGTATTTTTAAATAAAGCCTGGCCATGGCCTAAATGTTCTAAAATGTTTGTTTCACCCTGACACAGATTAAACATCTGCCTTCCCTTCTCTTCATGTCAGCCTTGCTAAATGGGCTTCTCTCTTGAGATTTTATACTGAATTCCCTACCAAAGCAGCTTGAATATTCTGTCTAACAAAGCAGAACATATAACCTTGTATTAAAGAAAAGATACCAGGACATATACCATTGTATATGGAACATGCTCTCAACTATGTTTTTAAAAAGTTGCTTGTGTTTGGGTTATGCATGTATACATGTGTGTGCATGCTGTCACCTAAGTATGCATGTGCAGAGGGCAGAGGTCAATGATGTATGTCCTTGTTCTTCACCTTATTTTTTGAGCTAGGGTATTTCATTGAACCTGGAGCCCACCAATCTGGCTAAAGTGGCTAAGCAGTGAGCCCCAGGTATTATAGGCACCCGCTGCTGCGCCTAGCTTTTTACATGGGTACAGGAGATCCAAACCTAGGTTCTCATGTTTGCACAGCAAGCACTTTACTGACTGATCCATCATCCCAGCCCCTGAAAAGAATAATTTTTAAACATTTAAAATGAACCTGCTAGGATTTTAAGAGTGTTTACCTCAAGAATACTAGGTTTAGAGTAATGTTTGATTGACTGAATGTGTGTGCATGCTTACACTAATGTTCACTTTCCTTCTGTGGCTGTAGAAGGGAGAAGTCCTTTTTAGAAGCTGATCTTGTGGCTGGAGAGATGGTTCAGTGGTTAAGAACACTGGCTGCTCTTGCAGAAGACCCAGGTTCAGTTTCCAGAACCCACATGGCAGCTAACAACTATTTCTGTAACTCCTGCTCCAGGAGATCTCATGTCCTCTTGTGATCTGTGGGCATTGCACAACACAGGTGCACTTGCATACATGCAGGAAATACACTCACACACATAAAATAAAAATAGTAGTAAAATGTTTTTTAAGAAACTAATCTCTAAGAAAGGAAATAGTATTGTTTGTAGATAAATGTGTATACATACAGATACCTCTGAAAGACTTACTGGCCAGCCCTTGGCTCTGGCTCTTTCTAATCCAGTTTGAGCTTGTTACTGTCAGAAATCCAAATTCAAGCCTTAACATATAGTGAACATCTTTGTTAACCTTAAGTGGCTTCTTTTTCACAATGTTATGGGAGATTCATTTTTTTAAGTGAATCCTAGCATTGAAACCCTATGAAAACTAACACTTAATTTGAATATTGGAGAAATGATAACTCATGACATCATGGATATCATTTCTAGAGATATTCTGTGAAGAGTTGATAGCATCCAAAGATATTTAAAATAGTCAAAAGTCTTTGACAAGGGGTTTGAGCATATTTATTTCTTAAATAAGACAGACACCTCTCCTGTAACTTAGGTAGGATTTTCACATTAAAAAAAAATTTATGGCATAATTCTTTTATTTATTGTTTTTATTTTAATACTGCCTGCATATAGGTAGGTGCACTTGTATCAAACAGTGCACATGGAGGTCAGAAGAGGTGTCAGATCCCCTGGAACTGGAGTTACGGATGATTGTTAGCTGTCATGTGGGTGCTGGGAACCAAACCCAGGTCCTCTGCAAGGGCAGCCAGTGCTCTAACCACTAAACCATCTCTCCAACCCCTTTATGTTATAATACTTATTTGAGGCTGAGGGGAAGGAAATGCCAGTTTATAGGCTGATTCAACTCCAGAAACCTCTGGTCAATTTCCTCTTTCTTTCTTTCTTTCTTTCTTTCTTTCTTTCTTTCTTTCTTTCTTTCTTTCTTTCTTTCTTTCTTTCTTTCTTTCTTTCTTTCTTTCTTTCTTTCTTTCAAGAGATGCCTTTATGCCTTCCTTGCTAACGGGTTAAGTTTCAAATATGTGGAATTAACAGTTTTACATTCACCAGGGTAAAAATCCTTTAAAGATAAATTCTTAATACAAATTCTTTGTGCTCGATGAATGTGGAGGGTGGGAGGAATCTATTCTGGTATTCTTACAGCTTTTAGTAATGTATTGCTTAGGTTTGCTTTTTGTCTGTTCCTGCAGTGATTAAAGCAAGGCTGTGTGGCAATCCATATTGGAGAAAGAAAAGGAAAAAATCGAATGCTCTAAGCTGTAACACAATATATACAGCCTTGTCTGTGGCCCAAGGAGAAAGATGCACTAGTAAAGATGGATATCTAACACTAGCCATCGCTGCTAGATCTTCTCGCTCAGCGTGTAACTGTTAACACATGTAAAATTACATGTACATGGCTATATTTTTATTTGCTTGCTCCTAGAAGAGAAAAAAACAAACTTTGAATCACAACTAGAAATTGATGCTTTGATTTGGGGGAACTTTTTCAGAATTTTTTATTTACTGTGGTCCAGCCTAAGATCTTCAGTTGTATCAGGTTTTGTGCACAAAAGAAAAGCACAGAAGTTGAACGCACATGGGTCATGTGCTTTCTGTGCACCAAATGTTTAGATGGGGTTCTTTTTACAGGCCTACAGTCAAATCTGTGTCTAGAATTTTTTTGACTTTTTTGCTTTGTATAATCATAGAATTCATTGCTGCTGGTTTCTATAATGATTCATATTGTTGTATGTCTTACTAACCGAGGGCTGTTGATAACCTGTGATTTTTGCCTTTTCTATAGTCTTACTCCCATGAAGAACCTTGGTTCTGATGGAGAAAGAGTGAAAAGCTTTATTTCTCTCCCGGATGTCTTTATATTTTTATTATATATTTTAGTTGTGTAGTACATGCTACCAACTTTTTCAGTTTGTTACAAACACAGTTTGGTAATTCTTAAATTTGTTCTGCCTGCCTGCAGACAGAAACATCTGTACAACTCTTGTGGGTATAGAATACTTTCTAGTACAATGGTCAGGATAAAATGAGTATACTTTTCCTGAAATTTGTAAGAGAATATATGGTATTACTTGTTAAAGCAGATCAGACTGTTTGAATTTGACATTTGATTCAATATTTCTAGTATTCCTGAATTTGACATTTGATTGACTATTTCTAGTACTCCATAACAGATTATATGGTAGTTTTTCTAGCTTGGATCAGTTTAAAAGCTACATCACAAGATACACATAGAAAATCTGAGCAATGCTCCCATTTGCCTCTTGATCAGAAATTTCAACAGCAGTAAAAAAAGTTCCACACAATTCAAACTGCATTGCCTTCTTTAGTTGCTGTAAGAAACTAACATGTAAAGTACCTGTTTTAGTTGCAGTCCTTTGTGGAAAATGTTGAAGCATGGAGTTGAGGCAAGGAAATGGTACTCACTGCAGCTGAAATGACTGCCCACTTCAGGCTCCTCATTGTGTTTACACACGATGTACTTAATGTGAATCAGAGGCATTTTGTAGATGCTTTGCTGACTTGTTCATCTCTTTAGAATCACAAAAATCAGACCCGTTTTGTAAAGCAAAAAGTCATGTCATGTAAAACTGTCCTGTATATATTCCATACATGGAAATGGAGTCTAAATGGTAAATGCAAGCTGATAATTTAATGATGGGATTAGTCTGATCATGTGATATGCACAATCCTGGAAGTGAATTACTTGCATCAGATATAGTGATATTTATTATTCTGTACAGAGAGAAAAATACATATAAAACATATATCTTACTTTCATGCACGCAGTTTCACGCTCCATAAATCTTTTCTATTTTTTAATTTACCTGTCTCTAAATGATGTGCATGGAAAATGCCTTATTACAGAAAATGCTGTTCATATTTGATTATGTGGAAAAGTGCCTATATGGTGGTAATGCTAGTAAGGCAAATAAGACAAATTATCATGCCAGTTTACATCACCAGTTAACATTTTCTATTGTGACGTTTGGAAAAGAAAAGTTTATACCTCAAATGTGTATTTTCTTTTACAATCAGCTGTGGGGTTAGGTTGGGAGAACAGGAGGGTCTGGGAGGGATGGTGGTTTATTCACCATAGGCACTGGTGGGAATCTTCAAAAAAAAATTCTCTACACCCACTATAAATGTTTCTCTATTTGCATTTCTGGCAACTATCATGAACCCAGACAATTAACTTTCATAACTAAATTGAATAGCTTTATTTTACAAATATTTGCAAAGTTTACAAAGCAGTATCTAAATCAAATTATCATTAGTTGCGTTTGCACTAAATGTGGTGATACACTTTTGCAATTTATTTTGTAAATAAAATGATTACACTTAAAATATTTGTATTAAAAAAAGAAGACAAGAAAAGAAAAATAACTGCACTGGTACTTCATTGGAATTAACCTTGCCCAAACAGATTTAAAAGTGAGTTCAGAAATACGGAAGGAATTGAAAAAAGTCAAAGTTTGGAGGGGTACTTGCCTTTTAGACAATATTTGGTAGTGTGCATACTGAATATTCATGGTGTATTCTCATCCATGGGGAATTCTCTTAATCCAAGTGGAGGGAAGCCCTTTGCTCTCTATTCTACTCAAATATTTTCTGACACCTGAAAAATATTGGTGATGTTGGGGGTGTGTCCATTGAATGTACAGTGAGCAGGAGGATAGAATGGAGGACTCAGGATTTTGTGCTAGAGATTGTCACTGCAGTACTTGGTTTGGAATTGCTACAAGGGCAGCCAGACCAAAGAGGAAGATGTCTAAGAGGTATGAGGAGCCAAAGAAGGAAAAGGAAGAATGGCTTTCCCATCTGTTTGTTTTTATCAACTAATTCATACACCTATACAACATCAGTGTCAGTTGCTACTGTGAATTTTCGCTGGACTGAGCTGGTTTGCTTGTGAAATCGTGCAGGTTACCTTTAAGCTTATCGGTTTGTCCCTGCGAACACTTCACCAGTATTTAGTCTAGGCTATACAGATGACGCATTTGGATTGTTGTTGTTCATCTACAGACAAAAAACATAATCATTTAAAAAGTACCTTGGGAGTGTGTAGAGTGTAACTATAATAGCTTTATGATTCTGATGATTTTTTAAAATAATAAAAATGGATCTTCCATGTTACAGTCACAAAAATCAAAACCAGTATTTAAAAGTGGAAAAGTATTAAAAAAAATTATGGATAAATGTGCTTGCTTGATTTGTTTTCCTTAACCCCAAGATACTGTCCTAGGTAATTTTCCGGGTAGTTTAAAAAGTTTTCTTAAAATATTCCAATTCAGTAACCCTATTTGTAACCCCATTAGGGATCATGAAAATTTTGAGGTACAACCTAATTTTTTTTTTAAATAAATGAGAACAGAATGAGGTATATATCAGGTACATGGCGTGTAATAAAGGTAAATACTTTGTCAGTCTTTTGTCATATGTATTATATATATATATATATGTGTGTGTAATGGATTACAATTCTAAATAATTTTATTATGGATTATATTTAAAAAGTCTTATATGGTTGCTGGAGAGTGAAGCCATACACAGTTTCCTAAAATGGAAGCTCAGTGCCAGTGAATCCTACACATTTTAATTTGTATTCAGCTGCGTGCTCTTAGCCATAAATAAATAATTTCTCATGTACTTAAGTAAATGTGGTCAGCTCTGCTTGTTGCACTCAGAATTTGTGTCCTAGAACAGCCATCAAATGGGGCGTGTAGATTTGCAGTTCACACATTGACGTCTCTCTTCAATTGTATTGAAAGGCACTGAACATATTTTCTAGTGTTAGAGACATTCAAACCTGTAAATATAAGCCAACTACCTAATCTGGGATGCTGGAGGGAGAATTTGGCTGTTGAGTTGGATTTACTGATAAAAGTAGTATATTGTCCTCCTTGTATACAGTGTTTTTCAACAGCAAGTTTAGCTGTTGAAGTTTTTGTCTCAGACAACATTGGATTGTTATCCGCAAATGTGCAAATAGGTATGGTTCCACTAGCAATTTCAAATCAGGTTGCTTTTACGATATGTTCTAGGTTTGCCTGTCATTGTTTGAATTTGATTACAGCAGGATTCATTTGTATCCACTAACAATTTCTATGAACCTTCCACTTCTGTGTTCTTTGAATGACCTTATACAAATATAACAATAAGTTTATTCTATTTTTCTTCATGTTCATAGAATTAATATGATTTTTTTTTAGTAAAACAAATCTTAAAGAAGTTGTTAAAATATGGCCCACCTGAATTTTCTTGCCACCCAGTCTTTGTAAGGTCTGAATGAGGATTCTTCTCTTATGAATGTGCTGCAAACACTGCATGCTTTTCTGACTTCTCCCTACTCACCTGTTTTGTGAAGTGATGGTGATGGATAAAATCACTCCTGTCTTAAAACAGATTAGGAAACAGGCAGAGGTTGTCAGTCTACTGATTTACTAGAAGGTTTGGTGGTTTTTCCATTCAACTGTGAAATTTTAATGTCTATGTCTATAGAATATTTTTGATGAATTGGAAAGCGCTACATGCTTGAAAAGTAACACTTAAAATATTTTTTAAAATCGGGACTGGAGAGATGGCTCAGCAGTTAAGAGCACTGACTGCTCTTGCAGAGGACCTGGGTTTGATTTAAAATTTTTATTTGAGTGTTATGCCTGCATGTATGTAAGTGCACCTGTGTCATGCAGTGCCCATGGGAACCAGAAGAGGGCATCATATCCCCTGAAACTGGAGTTACAGATGGTTGTTAGCCACCATATGGGTGCTAGGAACTGGATCCGGGTCCTCTGTAAGAACAGCCAGTGCATTTAACCACCAAGCCATCTCTCTAGTACAAAAAGCAGCACTTTTAGGATATGGGGCTTAACCCTGTAGTTTGTTTGTTTGCTTTTATTTAATAACCACATAATTAGAAGAATCATTCCATTACAGCTTCAACATATTCGATAACAATTTCCAGAGCAAGGATACATCTCTCAAAAGTGCCTGTAAAATTTTAGGTTCACAGTTTACTTAATACAGTTATAAACTATTGGACTCAGTATAAACCCTGTAAGACAGAATCAAATGAGTTTTTAATCTTTAAAAAAGATCTCCATTTCATTTTAAAATATGCTGTTTCCTACAGAAAGACTCATTTTTAATGCTACTAACAGATGTTTGCACATACATCTCTAATCTCCATGTATCTGATTATTACTAGTCACAGTGGTTAACTCCGTGCTTCATTTTTAACTTCACAAAATCCTAAATTTATGTTTTTGTGCAAAATCCCATCAAATACAAGGGGCTGGAGAGATGGCTCAGGGGTTAAGAGCACTGCTTTTGCAGAGGACCCGGGTTTGATTCCCAGTAGCCACATGGTGGCTACGAACCATCCTTAACTCCAATTCCACGGTTCTCTGAAGCCCTCTCTGACCTCCGTGGCATTGCACAACACAGGTACATTCTCATACATGCAGGCTGTATGCTCATACACATAAAATAATAAAGTTTTAAAAATATGTAAAGCTTGATCACTATATTAGTTTCCTTATTGCCATGATAAAATGAAAGAAGCCATGTAAAGAAGGATTTCTGTGGTTCATGGTTATAGAGAATACAGTCTTATGACAGGCAGCATGGGCAGCAGGGCTTCCTCACATGGGCAGTTCAGGAAGAAGAGAAAGGAGAATCCTAGTGCTCAGCTCAGCTCACTTTCCTTTTTTTTCAATCTTGGACCACGGCCCATGGGATGGTAACTCCCATATTAGGATGGATCTTCCCCCATCAGTTAATCCTTCTAGAATAGGCCTCACAGAGACCCAAAGGTGTGCCTCAGTGATACCCAACCTGTTCCTAAATCCAATCAAGTTGACAGTCATCACAAGTCCATCTCTTGTCAACTTGACCTCATGTGTCACTTTTTTTTTTTCCCCCCTTTTTTGGTCTTTTTGAGACAGAGTTCCAGCTGGCCTGGAACTGGAACTCACTATGTAGACCAGGCTGTTTTGGAACTCAGAGAGATTCACCTGCCTCTGCCTCCCAAGTGGTTGAATTAAAGGCATGCGCCATCAAGCTCAGCCCAGACATGTCACTTTTAAACTAAATAATTCTTCCCTGTTTTACAAGTCCACCAACGCTGTGAAAATTGATAGCTCAAGTTTTTTTGTTTTTTTTTGTTTTGTTTTGTTTTGTTTTTTTTATGTTGGAGAGTAATTCCAGGGCCTTACACATACTAAGTACTCATCCCAAATCCCTAGTGATAATTCATTTAAAGACTATAATATGGGTGGGGCTGGCAAGCTGGGTCAGTGTGTAAAGGCACTTGCTGCCAGTCCTGATGACCTGAATTCAATCCCCATGACCCACATGGTAGAAAGAAAAAACTGACTTCTGAAAGTTGACATCTGACTTCACATGCATGCACACTGTGGATTTGCACATGCCTGTACATGTGCACACTATATATAACCAAAATTCTTTCCTATTTGGTACACTATAAATTTATGCTATTTAGATCCCCTCCCCTATCCACATCTCTATTGCCCATCCACAATATATATATATATCCTATAGAGTCTAGTTTGTTTCCCCAAATGTCCAGTGTGGGTCTATCCACTGGAGTCGGGCTAACCAGCCAAGAGTCCTATCCTTTAAAGAGTCTGTCTCTGCACCTCCGAGCATTCATCAGTTTCCTTAGGTGAGGTTGGTGTTTCTTAATCCACTTCTCCATGTCTATGCTGGGATTTTGTCTGGTTTGCGCTTGCATGGATCTTGTGCATGCTGTCACCATTGCTGTGAGTTCATATGAGTAACTGACCAGCTGTCTAGAAAACTGTCTCCTGGTGGTCATCTACCATCTCTAGCTCTTATGGTCTTTAAGCCCCCTCTTCCTCAATGATTCCTGAGCCTTGGGAGGCCGAAATTTGATATAAAATAGGTGTACTAGTCAAGGATAAGCACTCTACAGCCTCTTGTTCTCTGCACATTGGCCAGTTGTGGATTTCTGTGTTAAACATCTGCTGCATAAGGAAACTTCTCTGGTGAGAATTGAGAGATGCATTAATCTATATGAATATAGTAATAAATCATTGAGTCAGTTTAATATAACTAGTAGAAAGCTATTAATTCTCCCCTGTCTTGTGACCTGTCTAGCCTACAGTTCCTAAGCATGAGTTCAATGTCAGATGGGCTCCATCTTACAAAACAGTTCTTAAACCCAATCAAAGAGTGGTTAGTTACTTCCATAATATTTGTGCCCCTATTACATTAGTGAGCATATCTTGCCAGGCCAGTTATAGTTCACAGGATTCGCAGCTGGGTAGGGTTGATGATTATTTTTTTCCTTCTGGTAGCATGCATAGCACCTTCCAGCACTATGAAAGCTAACCAGCAGAAATGAGGCTCTTAAGTCAGCACCAGCATGATTTTTCCTTGTTTTTTCAACAGTTCATGTGTGTAGTGTCTTCAGCAGTAGGGTCTTACCATCCAATTCCAGTGGGTAACCAAGAGAAAGGAAGGGCAATGGCCAGTATTGCTTGAGGATCTATGGAACCCCTGTTCAGCATCTAGAGAGAGAGTTCATTCCTGGCATTGAAGTTTTTTTTTTTTTTTTTTTTTTTTTTTGTCATTAGCATGTGATGTCTAAGAGGGGCAATGTCCCCCTGTTAGAGGGTTACTCCTTTTAATCTTTTTTTCTCTCTGTGTTCCTCTATTCAATCTTGGCTGCCACAATCAGATGGAAAGTGTGAGGAAACTTTCTTGCATCTGTAATGGAAACCTTAGAAGCAGACAGTAACTGCGTCCAGTCTGTCAAATAGATTTAGTCTCTTTTATAATGTATATGCATATACTTTAAAAAGCTTCTATAGTGGTGTTTCCATATGGCTTTTTCTAAAGACTTTTAGTATTACTTGTAGCTCCCCTCCCATTCTCCACCTCATTTAACCCTTCCTATTTTATGGTAAGTGATCTTGACTTTTCTTTCCTGGTACTAATAGATTGGGGGGGGGGTGTATGTGTGTGATGTGTATACAGATGTACTACCCATGCTGGGATTACAGGTGTGGCTACCACACCCAGCTTTTTACATGGATGCAAGGTTCTGCTCAGATCCTTATACCTGCACAGCAAGCACTTTACGCACTGAGCCATCTCCCAGTCTGTTTCCTTATTTCTAAGTGAGTTTCCAAGTTTTTGGTCATTGTATATTTACTGAGAAGAGAAGGCCAGAGGTTGTCTGGCTTTCTCATTTTAGTATTAGACAAGTCATTTTAATGTGTCTTAAGTCTGTTGCGATTCTCAGTAAAGCCATACAAAGCTGTCTCTTATGGTTATATCTCAGGCTTGGGGAAAGAACAAGGTAATGTATTTTAAGTGCTTTGAAAATTGATGCACTGTGTAAATGTAAAACCAACTACAAATAGACACCAGATGGTATTTTTGGAGTGCTAGAGATACAAAGAAGAGCAGGGCACAGGAATGGTGACAACGATAACATTTGGGGGCTTGAGCAGATCGGAGTCCTGACTTGTCTAGGGCTTAGCATGACACCAGTATGTTGAGGGATATGTACACATCCAAGAAATCTCAGCACAAATTGATGCCCAGTTTTCTTTGGATTTGGCATAAGGCAGCTACTGTTCTTGGTTTTTGTTTTGAGACAG